CCTAACAGTCCGTCATCTCGGGACGCTCTTCCATTAGCATCATGCTTGGGTAACCTATGCTTTCTCATGAAGGTTGGCAGTATTATTCCTCATGATGTAAATTTCTCATCGTCTGAAGCATTCACCTTTTATGTACACGAAATGTGGAGTTGTTAACAGTCTTGCACATAGCATGAGTACACTTTTAATCGCAAATTTCTATATATTTCTTTTTCCAAATTTTACTCGCATGATACATCCACCCAGTGCCTATAAATGCGGGTTATTCTTGCCGGAAATAAACTTTTTTTTCGAAGCTTTTTCGTTTAAGACCTTTTTCCATCAATTTCAGTTTTAATCATTCAACGTGGTTCGGTGCATTGGGTAAAGATGTGATGGCTTTCCATGCACCACAATTTCACCTAAATGAAGGCAGATAAAGAGTCATTTATAGTGGCGGTTCTACAGTACACTTCCCTAATTTTTAGTGTAACAGTAGCATCAAGAAAACCATGAGGAAATACAGGTTTAGCAACATACTTTAACCACTAGTGTTTGAGAAGCCCTCCAATTTTTTTCGGAGCTGAACTACAAAATTAGTACAACACACTCAAAGATCTTTTCGTCCAGATCTGCTATCTCACCAGGCAGGTGTCGTACCACTCTGCCGACCTCGGAAGGATAGAAGGCTTGGTGAGCTTGGGGTGCGGGATTGAACCCATGTGTCGCAAGGCATCACTAACCACCGCACTACGCGTGCCAGTGTCAGTCAAAAAGCGTTACTAAAGAACACACCTGTGAAGTGAACACAATCTATTTTACGTACTGTACATCCATGTATAACAGACATCGGTGTCCAAGAAGAAATACAAGTGACAGGAAATATCAACTGACAAATAATCATTTACATTTCACATTGTTACCGCCTCAAATGCCCATAAGCAAGCTCAACGAGACTGCCATATTGATTCCAGATGAGATCCTGACCGACATGTGCATAAAATCTGAAACGTTTATCGAGTATTACAGCTAGACTACAGAAAAAAGACGTTAATGATATTATTAGATTGACTGGGAAATAGTGTCGCTTTAACGTTCTCGAAATCTGACGATTCGTTTCCGAAGTTTCATGCTTTAGTGGTCGTAATAAGTTCTACGATACAGATTCCAAAACAAACCGTTATTTTTTGAGTTCTATTTGTTTCACTAAAAACAAGAAAAAGAAAAGTTTAAGCACATCTGTACGGATTTGAGTGTGTATAGCGAGTGTGTGGTAAAAAGTCGTTCTAAGTTTCATAATAGGAATGAGTGCATTGAAGGTAACGGTCATGGATAACATTCTGCCATAGCTCGCAATATTTTAACACGTTATCTCATCAGAATAGCTAGGCTGCGGAAAACACATTTACAGTAACTCAATCGAATTAGGCTGTCAAATGACAAATTTACGAAAATTGATGTGTGCTTCTTTCACCGAGAATTTTCAGTCGTTTGATATTGGAACCAACTAATTTTTTTCTCACATGGTAAGTCCCTAATCGACTTCGCATCGGACCAACTAAGTCTCCATCCATCCAATGTAATCAGATGGGCGTCGTACTTATCTTTAAAGAGTTCCCTTTTATGCATAAAGGCCTATGGTGAAAACTACTGAATGCACTATTGGCGTTATTTTAATACTACGGAAAGGATCTACTCTACCATCATTCAACGAGTTTCGTAAGGAAGGTGAAATCTTCAAATAGCATCGAACCAGCGCCCTAATTCGACATCCTAGAGCATGATGAATGTTTGCGAGAGAACAAACTGAATTTAAAAAATGCTGGGATCTGCATAGCATATAGTGTTGGGTCGTATGAAAAGTATAGTACGCAACCAATACCGTAAAAGTTAAAGGAATCGCGATACAAAGTTCGCTTCATCCTACTTACAAAGAAAATTCTAAATAACCAAACCGTTGTATTTATTCCGAATACTACAGTTTGTTACCTCCTGAAATAAGTTTATTTTAAGACATGAGCTAAAATTGAAGGTATTTCTGGAAGATACTTATAACAGTACCGCATACAATACCTTATGCACTGTGAAAGTCGATGATAGGCAGGTATACTTCCGCTTTGCTGAAGTCATTTCTCTCAACACAATCACGACCACATGCATAATTTCAGAGCAATTTTTCCTGCCTCACAGGCTACCAATCATATGTCCTTCCCTCATGTGGGCTCAAAAACCTAATTTCTATACAAAAAAATTCCAAGGAAACTACTCGTAGAAGCTTGCTCGTATCTGTAAGTTCCGTAACGATTCCCATGCTCATGCACAAATAGGGATGAAAGAGACTGGGCTGATGAGAAAGGCACTGAAGCTTTTTCTGCAGTACTTGTACAACGACAACTGACCACTTACTTGTCATAGGGAGATGGCTCATCACTACATACGATAGGCCATCTCTATCGAACGTGCTACAAATGAAGTGGATGTAGTATCCACTACCATGCAAGTGAAAAATCGGAATCGGAGTTGGTGTTTATCTCAACGAATAGACGTCGCGAAGATCAAATGGGCCGCATAGCTGAAGTGTCTTAACGAAAAAACCACTGAACTGATGACCAGACGTTCTCATGAAAGTCTTAGAATTACATGTATAGATCACTCAATTCGTAGAGAAAAGAGAACCCACTCTACTCTTGGACTCAGGGACAAACAAGGTCTTTATATTTCCCGTTCAACTTACTCGAAAACCACCAAAAGTGAAAGTGTTACAAGTGGTACAGCCTTTGCAACTAGCCTTATTCACCTGTACCACCTGCTTTCCATTGATCATCGCTAATAACTGAGGTCCCTACTAAAGTCTATCCTTGTCTCTTCAGCGGGAAAATATATCCCAGTGGATTCTGCTCGCTCCACGAACTTGATGAACATCATATTTTTATTCTAATTTCCGAACATCGACCACCGGATGGGTAGCCTTTCCGCTGTACGCTTAGCATCTCGTCGTGAGGATGCAGTCGATAACGATTCTTGTTCATGAGTTACTCTATGACACTTGACTCTTGAATGGCTCGTCCTCACTGGTTATGCGGGTCCCAGCATAATCTCCAATTTTCGGAAATTTGCTGGTTAAGCCATTATTGTTTCCTGGAAACCCAAGGTCAGCCAGGCCAAAGTCTGCCCCAGGCAGTCGTAGCCTTTGTGGATCAGAGGTAGATTTGCAACAATGCGACTTTGACACCAGGACGGTGGTAAATCCTGGTATTGGTTTACTTATAGCTAGGCTTCCTGATTGAAACGCCGGACTCCTCAGCTTGCGATACTCTGCCAGGGGGGTGAATCCCCTCGCTGTACATCGTAGCTCGACACCCAGGAACACCCCCCAACCGCGATTAGGCGGTAAACCGTTGGGAGGAGTTGCTTCTTACGCTTGTCATATTTCTGGACACCTGATTTTCGACAGTTCGCCTTGCACAATAGCGTCCCTCATCTTTGACCGCTATCACAAGTCGGAACTTCAGAATCCCTCCCTAACTTGTGTGATACGGAATGCTGCTAGCACCTTCTTGTCGATTGCGCGTTCGGTAACATCCTGTTTATGTAGCGATCAGGTTTCGGATGTATACGTTAAGCCAGGAAGAACCGCAGAGTCGAAAAGGTGGGCACGAAATCGAAGGGGTTTAATATTCTTTACTACGCTCTCGACGCTCTTAAAGGCTCCCCAAATGGTTCTATTCATCCTGCTCAGCATTGGAGATAAGCCGCTCATTATAGTTATCTCTCGATCCACATAAACCTAGAGGGAGCAATAGAACGTATTTCTTCCATTGATCGTGAATCGGACATCGGAACCAAATCCGTTATTCATGAACATTGTTTTCACGAGATTTATTCAAAGACCAGTTTTTCCACAAGTGCTGTCGATGTCAGTCAATATTCGTTACCCTTGGCTAATAATTCATGCTATAAGAACAGCTTCTTACATTTTTTTTATCCTTTATAAGGACGATATCATCATTAAGGCGAAGATGGTGTAATTTGTGACCATTGATTTGCACTCCCGTGTTCCCTATTCCAATTTTCGCAAGTCGTTCCCCAGGATTGATGTAAATAATTTTGACGAGATTGTATCGCCTTTTAGAGCTCCTCTTTTCACGTCGATGGTAATATTTTTATACAATACTGATAATGTCATTAATTTTATATGAGAGAATGAGGACGTGGCTACTGAAGAAATGTGAGTAGTAATCGCGAATGATTTTCTTAACTGAGTTTCTGGAATCGGTATTTGTTGTCTGAGAGTTGGAGTGCAATCATCTCTGCCTTGCTGAAATTTCTGTGGGTTTTGGGAATGCTCTTCCCCACCTCTGCAGGTTTGGCCATAATTACTGCTGTTTATTCCTTAAGATCTTCTTCTACCACTGTTCTGCAAGCTCGGATGTGAGTCCTCATTTGTTTGCAGCGCTTACGCGATTCCAGGTTCGCGTGTCAGCTCAAGCGCTGTTGGAGATAGAAGTACATTGGTGACTTTCGAACTCTTAGCTATCATAGACCTAACGTAAAAATATTAAGCCGGTTGTATTCCTCGCCTATGTTATCAATAACGGCACCTTTCCAGAAGCCGACTAATGATTTCAATAAATACCAGTTCATGATGAATTTGGGAATTTGTTTTTTAAACATGGCAACTTTCTGTCCTTTTAATGAACAAAGAACTTGCAAAAAAAGAAGCAGTAGTACGTTACCGTGTAAAATTTTGCGACAATACCAACACTGGTTAGACAAAACCGATTTCCAGTGATTTTGTCTCTCTCATCCTGGTATTCTCCATTAAAATACTCCCACCTACAACGCTCAGAATTGTGAGTTACCATGGATGGTCTTGGTCAATATGATAAACTCAGACAATCGCTCACCCATAGTCGATCGCTTCTGTTAAAAGAAACATATACTACCAATACTTATAAATTCCAACCTTCACATGTCAATGAAGTGCTAATTACAAACTAGTTGCCGAACAGTGGAAAAACTTACACTCCAAATAATGTCCCTCCTATATGAGCAGCATGGTCAAACATACGAAACCTGAACATATTTTAAAAAAAGTTGCATAACATCAGAAATACATGCTACGAATTGAGAAAATACCTTAGTAGAAGACCAGCGATGTCAAAGAGGAGGATGCCGACGATTGCTGATTGTGCGGAGAAATCGAAACCAGGAATAAAAAGAATTTTCAGCCTTGCATCTGGTATTCTCATACAAGTGTACCCAAGCATACCAAGAATAGCACCACTCTAAAAAAGAAGTGTATCTCATCTTCAGAACAAATGGCATAACGGTTTTAAGACAATTTAAAACAAATGAATTTTAACAAATCTTAAATGCCACATATCAGAACACTGAAGAAAAACCGACAGAATGGAAAGACTGTGATATTCCAACTACTGACATAAAATAACGCCAATTATGTTGTGCTGTACAAAAATTCAGTCTAAATTTGAACAGGACAAGAGAGATCCCATGTTTTTCAAAAATTATAACTTAAAATGATCAAAGAGAAGTACCGCTCCAACAGCTCGAATTGACGACTTCAACACAGCTTTATGTGCAATACCAAATAAAGAAGAGACCAAACCAGCAGTAAGAAATAGAGCCCAAAACTGCAACATCGAAGAGATTTTATCTATTTATCTACATATACCTATACCTATCTATCTGTATGTGTGTACGTATAAATATGCATATATGAGTACGTAGATGTATATACATATATATAGGCATAAATACATATATGTACAAATGTATACACATATGATTACATTTATATATACATGTATACACCTATATAGATACACTACATATATATACATTTATATATGCATACATATACACTTGCATGTCTGTATATGTAGACATACACCTGTTTGGATACCTGGATGGCCCATCGTCACTTATATTGTGTGGGCCTCAGCAGCACAATCTCCATTTTTTGGAGTTTTGTTGGTTTAGCCACTATGTTCCAAAAGTCCTAGGGTCAGCCCCGCCAAAGTCTACCTCAGGTCGTCACCACCACAGGCACTCGCCGCCCTTGTAGATCAGAGGAAATTTGCCACCATGCAAGTAGTTTCATGCCAAAACGGCGGTGGATCCTGGTATTGGTTTACTCTTACCTGGGCTTCCTGGTAGAAATGCCAGACTCTTTCCCAGCCTGGAAGACCTTGCCGGAGGGGTCAATTCCCTCGCTGTACATGGCAGCCCGACACAGAAACACCTACCACCTACGATGATGCGGTAAACCGTTGTGAGGGCGTATAAATATATATATATATATATGTAATATATACATATGTATACATACATATGTACATCTATATATATACATGCACACATACACATGTATATACTTATACAGTGGGGAGGTGTGAGGAGGGTAGTGCAGTGGTTAGTGATGCAGTCCGTCAGGAAGCAAGGTGCTGGTTAGACAACCTCTCCATCGTGCTTCTCTAAACCAAGTTGGGACGTCTTAACTTGGCTATCTCCAAAACTCCAAGGAGAATCGATTCGACCACCGTTCTACTACACTCTTAAAGACGAAGTCCTCAAGAAGCTGGTGAAACAACATACGAAATTTTCGAAGACCTTTGTAGACAGTGAATGCTAGGAGAATGAATGCTGTACAAGTGATGCAACCGCACCGTAGAAGTGATGACGGGTCAGATAAAAAAATATATATGTTGTCACCCTAAATTAGGTAAAGGACAAAAAATAAACCTGATCAGGTCCAAGAAAATTGTTCACAGTAACACTGGTAAAAGACAACACCACATACATATTCAATGCGAGATGTACAGCACTATAGTGCGAAAACACGCTAAGTGCCATAGGCAAACAAAGACTCCCTAGAAAAAACATGGTAAAGAACTTAAAGATAAACAGAGAAACGGTGCTATTTGTACTCACTAGAAGCAAAGCTGCTGCTGAAATATCGCCACATGACGTTGTTCAGTCTCTTAACCTTCCACAAGAAGAATACAGCCAGATTCACTAGAAAGTGTTAATAAATAAATCAATAGGTATTATGCATAGGAACTATGAAGACATAGATTTTGTCAGCGATAATTAAAGACAGAAACCACAATACATGATAAAACAGATTTCAATTACAAAAACTTAGTAAAAAGTTCGCTTGCCGCCAACCAAGTAGAGGGCACATTTATCACCATAAGTTAATTGCCTCCACCAAGCACGAAAATGGTTAATGCTGAAAATACAGTAGGTGTATTCCACAGCTAATAACTTTATGACCATTCTTTATGTAGAGGTTATATCGTGGTGCAGCACATTGAACAAATTTTCTATGGAATGGAAGGGCCTAGTTTGGCGTAGTGGATAGTACGTGAGCCCACGTGAAATGGTGAACGCAGCCTCGAAGTTCACCGGAGGTTACAAGTTTTGCTCATATTTCAGCATCCTTGTGCTTGTCTACAAGATTACCAATACAACCACGTGAACCCACCTTCAATGCAGGTGTAGGCGAGACTTGATGTATTTGGAAACTTCCTCGAGTATAACAACACAGGCAATTTTTGTGAAATATTCCTACATCTCTTATTTACCCCAGAGACGTTCATGTTTGCAAGGTTTAGAAAAATACTGTGCAAGTTACAGGTCTCGAAAATCATCGAACGCCTAGCGTTTCAATTTTTAGAGGATCGTAAAAATTTATGGTGTATAAGAGCCTTGATCAGGGCGCATGTGGCCCAGTGGTCGGAGGCGTCCTGCAGTATACATGGGATCGATCCCCGAGCCTCTGGCACACCAAGTCTTCCATCACCCGGCGACGGGAAATTCATACCAAACCCGTCTGGGAGGTTAGCAGCACTGGCTCGATACATCGTTAGGCCACCGCGATTACTTGTAAAATTCAGATATGCATTCAATCACTTCTAAACGATGCTTAACCAAGTCGAATGCATGGTGCGTCCTTCAAGAATTGATGAACACCGAGAGCTTTATCCATTATCATTTCAAACTATAAAACTCAAATCTTTCCAAACTTGGAAGACCTATATGAAGTGCTGAGATATTTGCAAAACTCCGGACCACAGGTGTGTGCAGTGGGGAACGAACACGCGCTGTTGTCCTTACCGGGGAGCAGCG